AAATTGCGTTTTGACCTCCGGTTTCCGATTTCTTTTCAAAAACACCCCCAAAATCTAAATTTTCACCCCTTTTTCTCAAAATCAATTTCAATTAAATCCAGATAATATTTTTACCTAATTTTATCATTATTATTATTTTTATTTTCATTGAATTAAATTAAATAAAAAATTTAAATAAATAAATAAGAATAAAAATAAATAAATAAAATATTTATTTTTATTCGGGTGTTACAGTTACAGGCTTTTTAGATGTTGATTGGGTCTCCTATCTTGATCTTAAAAATTCATTACGAATTTCTGTATTTTCTTAGGTGATTCTCTTATATCTTAGAAGAATAAGAAGCTGAAAACTATTTTCGTGCCTCAATTGTTATAACTAGTGAGATTCTTTAAAAATTGATTGTCATTTTATTTATGATCATCGATAGTTTGGTTCTATTAAGTTTCTACAAATTCGTTCGCATCACTAATTAGCATATTTATTTACTAAACCTTTGTCTTCTGTTTTATTGGTTTATATTGTCCAAGATGTTATAAAAGTTTATCAAAATTAAAATTTTATAATTGAAACTTTTATCAATATGGTTAAGTAAAATTAAATTATTCGATTAAAAATTTTATTATAATTGCAATATTAAAATATTTAGTTAAAATTTATATTAAAATTAAAATTATCCGATTACATAAAAATATTTTAATTTATCATTCTTAAAAACTTAGTTTAGATTAAAAACATAAAAATTTTAATTTATCAAAATTTGTTATAATTAAAAAGAATTTTTATCCTCTTCCCTATGGCTTTTTTTGTTTGTTTGTTTGTTTTGATTTGTTTTGTTTATTATTATTATTATTTCTTTCTATTACGCCAGTTAACCCTCTCCCCCATTTTCCAAGAAGATTTAAAATAAGTGAATTCTCTTCCTTTCTTCGAAACCAAGTCATCAGAGCAAGAGTTGAGAACAAGGAGTCAGTCATGGATCTAACAGAAGTATCCCAGCTATTCGAAAGATTCAAGGCTGCATTTTTGAGGAGGGATTACGATAGTTGCATCAATTTACTTTCGCAGCTTAAGGTTTCAAATCCTAAAACCCTAATCTTCTGTTACGTGATTTTCATCCTTATGTGCTTCATGTGCTCCATCTTGTTCGATGTTCAATAAATATGGCAATATGTTCTGGTTCCAGTTTCATTGGCAAATGGGGAGGGAAAACTGGGGCTTCTTTTTGTTTATTAGGAATAATAGGAATCGTTCGATATTCGTGAATCTATCTGGTTCGGGATATTTAGGTTTTTCTTTGCTGGTAGTTTTATTTGGCCTTCACTTGTTGGCAGGATATATATTTTTTTTTCTTTTTTTTTTTGAAAGGATATTTCTACTGTCCAGAGTTGCTAGGTTCTTCGTAATAGGCCACTGTTATGACTGCTTGATACATATACCCCTTTGGATTTTATTTTATGTTGCAGTTTACATGATTGATTGGGATTTCATTCAGGTTTTGCTAACAAGATTTAGAAGCCTTCCGCCATTGTTTGAAGATACACCTAATGCTGTTCAGGAATTGATGATAGCAAGTAAGGTTCCTGACCTGAAGAAGTAAATCCCTTGATTATGATATGCTTACTTTTATGGATCCTCTGATGCCTTTATAATTTTTTTTTTTTGGTTTGCTCTGTCACTTATACTATTTAGACTTTACATGAAATCCTCTTTAAGAAGATATTTCGAGCCAGTGAAATTTGGGAAATAGAAATCTCATATTTGTCGGATGCTTTAAGCATTGTGTTCTTAGTTTGTTACAAGTAGATATCCTAAGATTGCATAATTAGAAGATTATGTTAGTTATTGTGGCTTGTTCTAGTTCTTGGGTTTTAAGCATTCTCTCATGCTTTTTGTGCATGAAAATTTTTCAGGGGAAATTTATGAGCATGCTGTTGTTTTAAGTGTGAAAGTTGAGGATCAAGATGCCTTTGAGAGGGATTTCTTTCAGTTGAAACCTTATTATACAGATGCCAGGTAATATACTTCTGCCTTAAGTTTGAGCTTTTACTTAAAGGGTTAATTTGTAGTTGGAGAAAGATTTTTTCATCTCTCTGTCCTCTCCCTGCGATTTTATTCTCTTGTTTCTCTAATAAAGATTCATTAACTAAGATTCTTATCACTGCTGACTACATTGTAAGTGAATATGTTAGTCTACTGTTGCAAGATTTTCAGGCTGTTTTGTTTGGACTAATTCTTTTGAATTACATTAAAGTTTATAGCAATTGTTGACATTTCTTTTATTGAAGTCAGTGTTAACAACCTCTCTTTTCTTTTTCTGGAGCAGTAGCCGTCTTCCCCCATCACCACAGGAGTACCCAATCTTGGGTCTTAATCTACTGAGACTACTTGTGCAAAATAGAATTGCTGAGTTTCACACCGAACTGGAGTTACTTTCATCCACTGCTTTGGAGAATCCTTGCATCAAGCATGCTGTGGAGTTGGAGCAATCATTTATGGAAGGTGCTTACAACCGTGTCTTGAGTGCTAGGCAGACTGCCCCTGATGAAACTTATGTTTATTTCATGGATCTCCTGGCAAAGACAGTCAGGTGAGTACCCAAATTGATGATAACAGTCTGATATATAACACGACTTGAAGTGATACACCACTCAACAGGTTCTTGTATCCAGATGCTATGAGGCTGGAGTTAGCTTTATTTATGCTTGTGATGCCAATGAAAGGCTGTCTTACTTGCCTTCACATATGAAGTGCTTAGGGATGAGATGTGTGCACTGCATAAAAATGGATGATATATTTTAATATCATCCTCCTCTAAAATGTTGCTTATAGATCATCCTGTGTGGGAATAAAAATGGATCATGTTTGGCATAGACAAAATTTTGAGTTTGCCCCTTGCATATTTGATGGTGTGGTAGTTAATTTTGCATCATTGAAGTCAGTTTTATCCTTTGCCATTTCAAGCCAGAGTGCTGTGGAAATTAATTCCTCTCAATCTTAGCATGAGGTATATTGTTTTGTAAGTAGTGGTTGTTTATGATTGGAGTTGGAAGTTTACCCTTTTCATCATTTGTTCTTTAGATTCAATGATTTTGTATGCTCTTTCAAATGTTATTTTTTCACATGCTACTTTGTTTTCCTCCCCTGTTGATTCCAGGGATGAAATAGCTGGATGCAGTGAGAAGGCATATGATTATCTTTCAATTAGTGATGCCACGAAAATGTTGTTGTTCTCTTCTGAGAAAGAACTTTTGGAGTACGTCAAGGAGGTAAATGTCATTTGGATGCAGAAATTATTTTTACATTGATTTTATCCTTTTTAAAATAAAAAAATATATACATTGATTTTATCCTTTTTTTAAAAAAATGCATCAGCATGCTCCCAGCAATGCTGCAGGCTGCTGGTAAATTTGTCTTTGGTCCATGACTTGGGCCACTGTCCTAAAATTTTGTAGTGTTTCATATTACTGGAGTTTTGAGACTGCTTTTGGAGAGGATTGTAAAGCTAGTACCTGTTCTAATTATTACGGGTTTGTTTTAGAAATATTACATGATTTTATTGGACCAAAGCAATGATATGTTTGCTCGATTGCAGGATCATCCTGAGTGGGAGGTAAAGAACGGATTTGTTTTCTTCCAGAAAGCAAAAGAAACCGCACCTTGCAAGGAAATACCATCCCTGCAACTTATCAACCAGACACTAAGTTATGCGAGAGAGTTGGAGCGAATTGTGTAGTACATAATTATATGTGGTTGTTTTCGTTGACACTACAACATCTCCATCATTTGAAATCTAGTAATGCTATTCAAAATTGTTACAGAATTTCCTGTTAGTACTTTCAAATTTAATGACCTTTCCAGTGTATGGTTGTAGCAATCACGAAACTTTGTGCTTGTGGTTAGTCTTCTGTGTTTCAAAAATTAAATCTGTCTTATTTGTTTGCAAAACAATGCAGCAATGTTGAATGAATTGTAACTTTTAGCACATGGATTCTTGTTTATTTATTTAGTTTGCGTGGTGGGGTAACTGAATGATGGCTGCAGTAATAGTTGAAATGTGGAGATGCAACGAACTGATAGTGAATGCTCAACCACCACATGATTCCTTTCCCCCCTAAATGAATTCCGGGGCTTTCCATTCTTTCCATTCTTCCTCTAATTTTACCTAACAGCCATGGAATGGATACTTTCCCATCTCATACATCTGTTATTTATTTACAATTTCATTATCTTATTTAACGTTATGATCACTATAATCAATATTCAAAGTGAGAGGGTGATTTTTGTTTTTTGTTTTAGAAATTTTAGGCCAAGATGATACAAAATTTCAAAAATATAATATTTTTATCTTGAAGTTAACAATTCAAAACCTTGGATGTGACAACACATGAAAAAGGAAAATAGACATGAAGGCCTCTTTGGAGTAATATGAACTCTGATAATTTTTTTGGTTGAGATAGTAGTCATAAATGTAAAAGAATGAGTAGATACATTTTCACGGACATTGCATGTTTTTGTACCAACTCCATCCTTCACCAATTACTCATATGGACTAATGATGGGTCCCAAGTTTGCAAATTTATCAAACTCCCCATTAGTTATTTCATTGAATTTTAAGGATTTCCTCAACAACAAATATTTATTAGTATTACTTTTAACTCCAATGACAATCCCCTCATTGATTCATATTTGCCTTCTTTTTATCCTTTTTCATTTTAGTCAAGTTTGTCTCCTTCCAATAATTGAATGCCTACCTTCTCAAAAAGAAATGAAGCACGAGTACATACTTTTATGGCCCTACCCTCCTGCAAGTTCACTATCTTTCTTTTTGTTTTATTATTCAATGGAAATAAGGAAAGACCAATTACTCTCCTTCTAAGCATTTTGAGTTTATACTTTAAGAAAATGGAAGCTGGGTTTTAAGTTACAGTTCCATATCAACAAGAGGGAAGTAGTTATAAGGTACATGTTTTATTCACGAGTTCTTCTAATTTACGATATCATCTCATTTCTTTAGTGGGTTGATCATGAAAGTAGAGGTGGTCTGCTCTCTGTTAATGCTGAATTAAATTTGGGGTTTCAATGGTCAGGGAATGCCAAAAGGGATCCGTTTATTGTTTTTTCCTGCAATTTTCTTCTGCCTTTTATCGGCAATGGAAATGATCCTTGGGAGATAAATCATCAGAATACCAAAAAAGAAACTTCTGTAAAAATCAGTATTTTACACATAAAATCAAAGATACAAACTGGGTTTTAATGTGAATATGTTTTTATCAGGACAACATGACTTCTGCAACTTTGGCCTCTGGTCCTGAACAAGCTTCAAACCATGATGAATTCTTCATGCACCAGACTCTACACTTCTCGGATAATTTAAGGGTGTGTTTTCTCCTCTCTAATTTTCCTTTTGTTATTTGGGTAGCGAGAGGATTCATAGAGGAAACAAATGTTGTCCTAAATACAGCATCAAGAAAGAAGATAAAAGAGAACATACAGATGATAGCACAGGATTAGTAAATAAATAAATAAATAGAAGTCCCTTTGATTTATATCTATGAGCAGGGAAGAATATAAGAATTTATAAGGATTATGCTTATTAACATAAGTTTATTACTGAATGGGGATTTAGGATTTGAAGAATCTGAGGAAACAATTGTACTCAGCCGCAGAGTATTTTGAAGCATCTCATGGCAAAGAGGAGCAAAATCAGATGTAAGTTTGCATATGGAAATTATAAAGACGATAATTTTATTTGGATTTCCATTTGAAAAAACATGAGGGTATTGATAATTACAGGGTTGTAGATACATTGAAAGATTATGTCATCAAAGCTTTGGTAAACACAGTGGATCACTTGGGGTCAGTAGCATACAAGGTAAACTGTTTTCTGGATGAGAAAGTTGGCGAAATTTCTGAAATGGAGCTTCAATTATCTTGTGGTGAACAGGTAAACTTATTCTTTATCTGATATACCATGATTTGTTAACGTTACACCATAATATCAGGTCTGTTGCAGAAGTGAAAATTGAAGTAAACAGACTGAAATAGTTGTAACTTGAAGTTCATAAAAAATATGAAGTGAACACCTGGGTGTATAATTTTTTCTTCTGTATTATAATCATTATTGTTATTATTTATTTATTTATTTATTTATTTTGCTTGTGGGACTATAGAGAATAAAAGCATGTGAAAAATTTATCAAGCAAGGTGGTCTTTATCAGCAATTTTTGGTAATGGAAACCCCTAAGCACCATAAGCGGTACATATTTACAGGCAAGTGAACACTTGTCTGCTACTATTCTCTATCCTTGCCTTAAAACTGTTTATTGAGAAGAAAGAAAATTTTTCTGTTCAGATGTGGAAACCACAGATGGAATGGGTCTGAGCAGATCTGATTATCAGTGCAGGAGCTTTAGTGCTGGAGAGTACTCACGTCGGTTTAGAAATGGTAATGTATTTCTCCTACTTTGATTCTCAAGAGGGATTTGATCTAATTATTAGTTGTCTCATTTTTGTTCTATTTTATGTATGATTTACTTTTGAACGAAAAATCTCATGATTTTATCGTATGATTGTTTGGCTAAGCTATTCGAGCAACGATAAAAGAGTCTCCTTCATATATTAGGTACTGTCTATTGTCTCTAAACTACATTCTTCTTCTGGTGAATTCGAATATCAATATTCTCATTAATTCATTGAATGTAGAGGAAGGTATGGCATGATGCAGTCACCACAATCTGTCTCAAGGCAAGGGAACTTTTTATTCACAACGCTTTCACCCAATAACAAAACAGGTTTCCATATGCTCTCTTATTACTTATTAAAGGTCTATTTTTATAGGGATTCAACATACATCTCTGTATTTGTATTGAATTAATCGCCTTGAAAAACAACTGGACATGCTTCATTCATATATGGTTCTTTGACATCAGAGAAACGATCAACATCTCCCTTCGGCCTGTCTCTCCTACGGTCTGGATCTGCTCTAAAGAGATCTATTTCTCCAAATCATTCTAGAAAAAGGGTAAGCTTAACGATATTGAAGTTCTACTCTTTTTTTGCTGAACATTGTGTAAATTTGAAATGAAGTTGCTGCTAAAGCTACAACCATTTCAAATGCATTATGCCAGCTTTCAAATCTGTGCTTCACTGTAATGCCTTTTGCTTCTGATTTTTGAGAATTTTCCAATGTCTCCAGTACCCTTCAGAGCCTCAGAGATCAGCTTCATTGTCTACTCATGCTGCAAGAGAAAGAGCATCAAATGACATGGAACAGTACGCCAGCAAAAGCAAAAGGCTCTTTAAAGCCTTGCTCAGCATGCGCACTTCTAGAAAGGATGGCGCCTTATACAAATTCTTAGATGAGAACTGAAAGGACAATAGTTAGAAGACATTGGGAAGATATATACCTATTCTGCAATTCTTTTTGTCTACACAGCCTTTGATTTATCAAATAAAATTCTACAGTAATTATACATTGTGATACTTCAAACTTATATTAAAAGCAAACAATGCAAAGAAACATGAACTCTCTTGAACTTGTCTATATCAAGGAGGGTTCATTTATATAGCTGATGTATGCAAACTTGATTTCAAAAAAAAATAGCCGATGCATGCAAATTAACAAATCACCTATTGCTATTTTTGCCAAGGGACCATTGCCAAAACTTAGATGGATCTCAGCTTTGAAGTTGTGATGAATCAAAGACAACTTCCATCCATCAGATTTTGCACAAGAGCCTTCTATGTTGTTTCATTGCTTTTACTGATTGTGATATTTCAACCAGAAAAAATCAGATTTTTATGGTAAGTCAATTTCTCTCTTCCCATATGACCGAGAAACAATTAAAGATGACAGCAGCAGAATTATCTTCGCCTAATGGAAGGAAGGAGTTACTTGATAGTCCAGTGAAACTTTGAATATTGTTTACTAGATCCATGGACCCACCAAATTTAGTAATGCTTTCGTAACTGTTGCTCAAAATCCAAGGTCAAAACTTGGACATTCATTCGTCTTGCCAGCACTTTCGAGTTCTTTAGAGCTTTTCCTTTCATTACCAATCGGGTCACTGGAAGCACTGGGGAATTGATTGGCACCACGGGCTGCTGCAGGGTAACGTTGACCTCAGTTATCCCATATCAAGAGTTGAAAACATATAGACTCTAGAAGAAATTAATTTCTATACGCACAAAGGTTGCAACAGAACTTGCCTAAGAAAGGAGGGAGCTCTGAGAGTTTCCCCATGTCCATATCCTGACTCGATTCAAGATTTGCGACATTCTCACTGCATCTGCCTGTTGATATTGACGCTCTTGGAAATTGACTATCTCCAAGAAGACTTTTAGCGGAACCTGAATCTTGAAGTTTCTTCACGGGAGAAACTGGCCTCATAATGCTATCAGGACAAGGACCATCAGAAATGCGCTCTTGAGACACTGGTTTCTGGAGAATAGAGAGGATCTGATGAGCTGCATGCAAAACCTTAAAATTTAGATTGCTTTAAAGGTAAATGCACGTCTTATAATGCCTATCATATTAATATGGTATTTCAAGCCCCAAAAGTCTTTGCCATGCACCACCTGAAGGATACTGATAAGGAATGAAAAGTTATTAATATGCATATCATATTAATATGGTAGTTTAGTTTGTTAACTATAATATTGATATTCATAAGTTTTTCCTTAGATTCATTCTTACATGAATTGAATTGCCGAAAATGAAAGGAAGGTCATCAAAATTCAAGATCTAATAAATTAACTAATTCAAAAATGAATTTTTTTTTTATTCCCGAATATCCAACTGATTAATTAATTCTTTATAACGTACTCTATTTTTCTTTGACAAATAAGACAGCAGTCGTTACATAGCTGATTCCCATAACCACACATTCTACCTTAGTTTAGTTTGTTAACTATAATATTGATACAGGACAGAAGTCGGATCACAACATTTTGCCAGCCTTTAGAAGTGTAAGTTGCATCACAACTTATATAACTAGTTCTTGGTTGTGGTAGACCATTTATACTATAAGACAAGAGATCCAAGTCTCGTGTTACATCAACAATAATACAGAGAGAGAGAGAGAGAGTAAAAGATAGAAACTCGACATTGATTAACATACAGATGTTGTAGGAATAAAAAATCTAAGCAGAAGAAAATAAAACATATTTCAGACTTTATAGTTTCATGGCATGGGAAAACAGAGCAGAAGGGACAAACCATCACGTAAAGGCTTGTCTGAAGAGATAATTTTGCTAGGTTTAGAGATGCAAAATGTTGGATTTGAATGTTCCACGGAAGACACACTTTTTTGAGGTTTTCCTGCACATTTAGGCAAAACAGTTTCAGAAGGAAGGCACTGGCATGATTCACAACAGCACTGAACAAAAAGAGAAAGATAAGACAAGGGAACACCACCACTTGAATATATAATACTCCAAAAAATAAAAATAAACCTACAAGAATGCATTCGTAAAAATTTTTTGATGGTATTCAATTTGCATCACCAAAATAAGATTATGATTTCAGAACATATTACCACCATAGAAGAAATTGGGAACAAAACTGATATGAACGCAAATGATGAGTGGACATGGAAGATAACAACTTCAATTGGTAATAAAAGATACCCCGACCAATAAGCATTACAAGAAATGCAAGGATTTGGCAGATAATGCCTCCGAACCTTTTACAATATATTTATCTATTTTAGGGCAATGCTGCTGCTCCTGCGATGTTCCTATTTTTCCAACAGCATCGCGATTAGTCTTCTGAGAATTCAAATCCCTGGAACTTTTGCTGTTTTCTTCTGATTCTCCAATATCAACCAAATGAGTGTCGAAAGCTAACAATTCGCCAGATCTTATTACTTCATCCTTCTTGAGGAACCTACTAACTAAGAGTTTCTTGCTTGTATCATATAGCATGACCTAAATATACCCCAAAAAAAAAAGTCTGAGCATCAAAGCAAAAGCCAGAATAATCATGCAATTATAGCATGCATGGTTGCATCTTGTATAAATGTCAAAACATACAAGATTTGAATAAATAATATAAATTTTTACCTTAAGAGAAGAAAGAGATAACTTAATAATTAACGTACTCTAGTTTTGGAAATCACCTGTCTTCCTTGGGTTCCAACATCTGCAATTTGCAAGAAACCATCATGATACTTCTTGGCTTTTTTAGTTAATTGTGTAGTGTACATAACCTGCCATTCTATCAAAAGGCTACATGTTAGTTGATGGCAAACCACATAATTCATGCTTTCAGAAAACTGTCAGATAAAGAGAGAAGATAGAGAGGAATAGATCTAATGTTAAAAAAGAAAATCTTAGGAGCACTGTGCACCAAAAAACAAAAATAAGCTAAAAGCAATGAAGTAGTAACTAAATTCTGACCATAACTGATGCATCAGAAGTTCACAAAATAACCTGCTGTACTATTATTTGTTGTATCTGATCCAATATCTTGATCACCATCTATGTAAATTTCATTCTTTCATAATATGAAAAGAAAATCAGTTGTCTATACTTTAGCTTCTTTGAACACTGAAAATAGATCAATTGTGCATGGAATATCATTTGAAAGAATAAATTCCAGGAAAACCTGCATTCAGTCAATGGCCACATGAAAAAAACATAATGCTTATTTTTATAGGGAAAGCACAGAGGGCTTGAAGTAGCTGATCTTCAGAACACAAGCTTAAGAAGATTCATAGCAATATTTAGATTATTGAGGAAGTCAAAAAAGGTTAAAACAACTGTCAAGCATGATATCCATGCCATTCTCACAAGACATCCATTATAAAAACTAATGCCCATGCCTGCCAACCTTTTCTGACAGATTTATCGCTTTCCAGCAAATTATAAGTTCCATGCCTTATCTCTTTCCCAGAAATGTTCAAATTGTTCCCTTGAACAAGGTTTGCTTCATATTCTCCCACTTCAACCAAATGACCATCAAGTGTTATTGATATGCCAGATTCTATTACTTCATCTTTCTTTAGGAATCTGCTATCCAGTTGTTTCCTACTTGCATCAAACAATGTCACCTGAAAGACAAAAAGAATTATGTAAACAGATACAGAGTTTAAGATGAAGCCCATAAATAATTCAACATTAATGTTGCATCAAATGATAATAAGATGTAAGGACTATATGTTAAGGAGTCATTAAAAAGCATATCTCAGGTGGAAAGAGTGATTTATTAGCAATTTAGGAGAAGGTGCACGATAAGCCTCTCGAAGAAGACACGGTTATCATCAGACCTGCCTCCCCAGGGATCCACGAGTTCTAAATTGTAAGAAACCATCATGGTATTTCTTAGCCTTTTGAGTTAGCTGCATTGTGTACAGAACCTGCCATTCTTCAGAGAGAAAAGTATGAACCAGGTCAAAAATTAAATAATGCTACTTGAGCATGGAAGATAAGGAGGTAAAACAAATGATCTTTGGTGTAAGAATGACTCAAGCAAGATTTCACTTTTTTAATAAACCACAATGTATTAATAGCACAAAGAGCAATGACATAAACTCAGGCACAACTCTGGCAAATGAAATTCGAATGAGACAAATCTAATAAACATAATTCCAAGAAGCAGTAATTGGAATTTGAACTGCTTGATATCCAGTAGTTATCAAGGTGGGAATGGACATTTTCAGAATGTTTCGTTGGGAAGTTTCGAGAGAAACATGAAGATATTCACTCCGAAAAGAAGATTGGGTAGGAATGAAAGGAATTTTGCAAACAAGGTGGGTAACAAACCTGCTGTGCTGGTTTTGACTGTATCTGGGCTAGCATGTGCTGCTCCATATTTCTGCAGTTCACTCCTCTTAAACTCTGAAAATGTAAAAAACTATTACAAGAGCACAGGCCCTAAGCTGAAATCCAATCAGTTACATGTCAACTCTAATGTGAGACATGGTGCTACTAGCCCCTTCTACATATTACAATTGGGTTTCAACCAGAACTTAGGAGAGAGACTCTACTCCGACATATTCACACTGCACTTCTATTAGAAGTTGTTGCGGAAAACCTTAATGAACTCATATGATTAATCAGCATATATTGTATGGAGGATTATGCTACTAGCAAGACAGACCTCTAATAATCTTCCGCGACGGGCTTAGACTTCTCATCTGTGCTTTATTTCTCTGCTGAATACATTCTCTATCTTCTGCTTCCAAACCAAAAATTAAAAAAAGAATTTGTAATAACATAATCCATGGCTTGAAACTAACATATAAAAACTTAAGGACAGATTACAGAATGAGATACCAGAAGAAATTGAGCTATTCTTGAACTTATGGACGCGAAACAGTCTAGGTTTATGATTAGATGTTCTATCTCTTGTTTGAGAATTCAGATCAGATAAAGGTTTATGGTCTCCCTCTGGATCACCAACACTAACAAAATAAGCATTGAACGTGAGCGTTTCACCAGACGTCACAAGCTCATCTTTTTTGAGGATCCTGCACTCCAACAGCTTCTCGCAATCATCGTACAGCATCACCTGGGTTTCAATTAACGGGCATTTAAACAATTAAAACACCAAAATAAATCTAAAGTTCATTCTCTAAATCTATATGATTAGAATGAATTACACAGTAACAAATTGACTCGATGCCCAACAAATTAGCTGTAAACTAGTTTTGTTAAAAAAAAAAAAAAATGGAATTAAACAATATTGACCTTTAATTGAAATTTAAAGCAATTGTCGACCTTAAAATGACAAATACACTAATTACAAGAAGTAATCAAGTAGATGAGCATACGAAGGTAGACAGGAATAATATTGTTCTATATGTTGGGCGATTACGCAAATAAAAACGTAGCAAGAGGTCAGCAAGTGAACTCGAAAACCAGACTAGGTTTTAGTTAGTGAGTAAATTCATATGAAATTAAAAATTTATATGAAGGAAAAGGTTTTAGAAGCGGAAAGAACGAACCTTGTTGGTTGATATGTGAAGATCTAAGAAGCCGTCTTGATAGACCTTTCTCTTCTGTTTGATGTGCTTCGAGTAGGTGACAGTCCATCTCTTCTTATCATCCTCCATTTTTGTTTGTTTGAAATGAAATACGTACAATTTTCAAAGGCTTAAAATCAAATATAAGGGTCTCAAATGGCGGGAGCCTGTTGATGATACCTTTTTTTTTTTTTGGTTTTTTTTTTTTGTGGATCCAAATTGATAGTAAAATTTTTTATTCGCCACCCATTCAATTGATAAAATTTTTAGCTTCTTTTATTTATTTTAAAATATAAATGTTTTTTATAAAATATTTAAATAATAACTAAAATTGAATAAGATTTTTTGAAAAATAATTAAAAGATCTGTTAACCAAAACAAAATATAATTTAATTAAATAACTCATATAAAATAATACTACAAAAATATATTATTACATATTTAGTAATTAAAATTTAATAATTGAGTGTAATTAAAAATAAAATTAGACCTTTATTAATTATATGTAGGTGGGCACGAGGTGGATAAATTATTTAATTTATACTCCCTCTTATCCGCTTTAAATTTATAATTTTCTATTATATTCATTATATTATTAATTAATTACGAATTTTTATTCAGTCCATCTAGAGTGCATTTGGCGAGTTAACTGGTAACTCACTATTATGACCATCTTTAAACGACTATTACTATAAGAATTAAATATATGAAACTCTTAAAAATTCAAAAACTTCTCAATTTATGTATTATCATGTGTAAGGTTAACTCTCAATTTATAAGACAATTCATATATATATATATATATATATATATTTGCATATGTGAGAGGTTTGCACTTTCCATTCTTGATGTTGAAGTTTATTAATTTGTATCTTAATAAAAGTTGTTGAGGTTTTTTTTTTACTAACCAACAAGCTTAAAAGACTCTACAAATAAAATCGTCTTTCACTATGAATTTTTATTTTCTTTATTTCACATAAGTTTTAATTATTTTAATATTTTTAAAATTTTGTCATATCAAGTGTATCTATTTGAAGTTAGACATTAAACTTAGATCTACTAGCCTAGTTATTTTTGATGAGTTCCATAATTATTGTATTATTAGGTTTTCTTTTTAAACCTATGAATATTGAACTTAATCCAATTCATTAGAGGGGTTTACTATCTCATCCAAATGTATTTTGTAACTAATTGGGTGAGTAATAGAGCTATTTCTCATATAAGTTTCATAAAATTCGGAACTAATTATATCAATTTCGTTACTTATACAAATGTCTATATCGTTAAGATTTTTATGGATGAAAACTGTTGTAGAGAAATTACTTTTCAACTTATAATTCTATAAATACTCATATTTATACAGAAGTTTTAACAGTTAAAATGAAGATAAAAAAAATATATTTCAATTTAATGTCACTTGAATATTCTCATATATGTTTTGAGAATTAGCAATTACAAAAGAATGTTTATGAAGCTTTCACTTACATTATTACATTGAAAGCAATTAATCATTAGTTATGATATGCCTCATTTTCTTTGCTTTATTTGTAAGAAGATTGATTATTCAATGCTGTAAAATCATATATAATTGCTTACTTGTTGTGCTTAACAAGCTTTCAAATGATCTTTCATTCCTTACTTACCTTGATTAGAGACTTTATTTATTAAGAAATTATAGACCGACATGATGGAGAAATTTATGTCACTCAAAATGAGCCTAATTATGTTTATGTCAAACACACTCTTTTAAAATGACTTAAATGATTGAAATTTTTTAACATATAAAGGGTAAAAGAAATGATTTGAATTTTCATATTTTTTAGTTATCATTTGAATCAAGACACTTGTGCGCTACTTTTTATATTTAATCTTTTAGGATATAAACTGAATGTGCGTCAAGAAAAATATTTTCTTTTCTTTAACTAATATTTAGTTTTTCATAAAAAATTAATATTTAATTTTTTTTTTGAATTTTTATTTAAATTATAAATAAAAATCTTTAATTAAAGTTATATTGTTAGATAAATGCAAATAAACACTATACATATTTTCGCTTTGAATCATTTTCTGAACTCAATTCTTTTAGAACCAACCAATGCCGAAGTTAACTTTTCATGTCATTTTCAATAGTATCAACAATGATTTTATTGCATTTCTTGAAACTATATCTTATGTGGAGTCATTGGCTATTCTATTGCTCTAAGTTATGGTACTCATAACCACTTAATACATTTTTTTTTGCTTCGACTTTAACTTTTATGACTTGTGGTTGTTATATTGTAGTTTTATTCGATCATATAAAAAAATTCAAAGTGTTAAACACATTTATTTAATTCACTTATAATTTATATAATTATTAATATTATTATTTTTACTACAACATTATATTGTCCAATAAAGAATAAGGAAATACGAAAAAAAATAAATAAATAAATAAATAAAAAAGGAAAAAAAAAAAAGAGCGAAACAAACAAAAAAGAAGAAAGAGAAACAAAAGAAAAAGAGAGAAGAATCCCCCCCTTCCCAACCCAAAAGGAAACCTTCCACTTCTTTTCCTAACCTTAAAATTCAACCTCTAACCTCTTTTAATATTTCTAAAAGCCCAGCCCAAGCCTTTCTTCGCCCAGCATATACCGCATCAAACGACGTCGTTCGGAAGCCTTTTCCTCCGGTTTCTTCGGGTCTTCGAACACAAGGCAATCGGCAGATAAGAGGTAGGAACACAGGGAGGGAACGGAGAGTCCGCTGGGGAGGAATAAACAAAAGACAAGCAGAAGGAAGGGAGCTAAAGGCAGTCTTCGGGGAGGCACCGAGACAGAAATCCTGAAGGGAAGCTTCTGAGTTCACTAGCTGTCGAGGCTCCAGTTTTTTCTACCTAGGTAATCACTTGAAAACCCTTTGCGCCAAATTTAGATTACCGAAAAATAATCCGAAATGAGAATATATCGGATTTGGTGTAATTGGTGATTGTCTAGGAAAGGTTGATTTGGTGATTGTCTAGGAAAGGTGACTGTTTCTTCTGATCAGTTGGATATTAACTAACTGAGAACCAAGTTTGTGAAACGGGTTTTAGAAAGGCATCTGATAAAGGTACGGGGCAGTTCCTTAAAACAAATAAGCGGAGGAGGAATTGAAAAAGAAAGCGGGAATAATCTTGGTAATGAAGTTATAAGATCAGCATTTCCTACTCGTTTTCATTTAACTAAAATTCTTTGCTGGTGTTTGTATCAAATGTTTGACTGTGAATTTTTGAGATATATGCTTTATCAGTTAGTCTCTTCCGATGTATGCATCTTTGCCATTGACATTCCAAAAATGACTTTCAAGATTTTATTTATAGCCCTTTACCTTCCATTTCACCGTCTGGTCTAGGCATGTAAACATTTAAAAGTCACAAATATATATTGAGACCCTCTTAGGCTATGCACGTTCACATTTCGCTGAACAAGTAGTGAACTTTTGACCTGCTGTAGTTCGAAGATCCTGAACATGTTTTTTAGAGGCTTGAAATGTGTGCTATTTGCCTTCACTTGTTGTTTGTGTGACTTGAAATGGCATGCACCATGCATTTTTCCTTTCAAAACTGAATAAGGCTATCCAGATGCACAGACATTTTTCTTTCTTGTTCTTTTGGTCTTTATTACGCTAATCATGCATTAAACTTATCAATTGAAGGGTTCCTATTATTTGTCTGATCTGGATATTGGGTGGATTAAAATATGGGATTAGGCTGTAACTTTGAAAAGAATGATGGGCTGCACCTTTGCGGTTTGAGATATTCAGAGCAATCTATGTGTTTTCCCTAGAATGATTGAGTCCTGTCCAAATCGTCCTTTCATGAACAGTTCTAGTGTAAGTTAGTACCTTCTCTTTTCAAAGCAGGTTTTATGGGAAACTCTTTTTTCCCCTTCTCTTGAAGGTTTAAAGGAATAATGGTGGTTTTTTGGGTTCCCTTTCTTAAACCATGATTCTAATACACTCGAAGAATATTTCTGAACTTCAATCCAAAGCTCTCCATTTTTTCGATTTACTTTCATTTTCATTTTTGCAGATTGTTTGTCCAAATGAAAATTGGTTTTAAGTTTTTCCCTTTTTGAAATTTCCTTTCTTTCAGTAACTCATCTTTTTTCCTATCAATGACTTTTTATCCTAGAATAATTTTAGATTAAATGGAAATCGTTTATCATATGTTGCAATGATGCATAATTAATTCATTTTTTGTTGTAAGTATGATCTTAAATATGCTTCGTTATGGAGCCATTCCAAATTTCCCCTTAATGTGTTTGCATTGTTTCTCTTCTTTGCTTACTGTTTGGGCTGTTCGCCACTGTTTGCATTAAATTTCCAGCTTCCTTTGATTTTTTTATCGTATTTCTGCTAGATTATGTTCTATCCAATGTTAGGAGGTTTTATATGACTAAAAAGTCCCTTTTGCTTAATGTTCAGTAACATTTTTACCATTGAAATCTGAGCTCTTTTGGCAGCTGGTTGGTGGCTGCCAAATCAGCTTACATGAGCACATTTAATGTTCATAAATAGAGGAAAATTGTTTGCTAATAGAGGTCAGCAGTTGCTTGGTATGTAGGAGTTAGCCACATTTTGGAGGTCAAAAAAGGAAAAGGAGAAGTGAGAAAACACGGGCTGTTTTGAGCTCCTAAACATGTTTACTTGGTAAATGTTTTGAACCCAAATAAAGAAAAATTTTGCTTTTCATGTGGTCCTTAATAGGTCGTAAAACCGTTCTTCTCATACTGCTTTTGGTTTGGTTATTGCTTTTGATTTGGATGAATCTCTTGGTCTTTTCACATTCCTGCATTCATTAAGATAAGCATAGCGATAGGCTAGATGAGATTCATTCTCCTTTCTCATCATCCTTACTCCCCTTAATCAATAAGTTTCATTTTTTGTACTAAACAGTAAGTAGAATATTTTTTCAATATCTACAACTGACATGGTTTCTCCTTTTTCCATTTACTTTGTAACACAATTTAGACTCCTTACTTTCTTATAGAGTTGATCCATTACTCTTCTCATTGTCGGATATAAGAATCTTGGACATGTATGTAATTTGTAACTTGAAATTCATTTCTCGTAGATAGGTTAAATTATGCATGTTCTACATTTTGGAAAATTCTCTTTATTACTCCATGACTAGGTGGATGTAGGTTAAATTGTTTTTCTATGGTTAATTCCTTTCCTTGCTTCGAGTTGGGTTGTGTATGCCTTCTTTTCCCCCCCTTTTTGTCAACTAACTTTTAGATCAGAAATCTTGGTTACTTACAAATTTCATTTACTTTTGAATAGGATCTATCGAACTTCAACCATGTATTTTGATGTAAAAAAAAATTTGCAGTCTAGTTAGCTCGCTTACACCACAAAATGGGTGTCTAACACATTCTCACATTATGAAAATTTTGCCTCGGAATTTTGATTAGAGACCAGTATACATAAAATGATTATTTCTACGTATAATAGGATAAGTGGCGATTCCTTTTATTTTTGAAAATTTACTGTTATATTGTTTTTGCTCAATGTCAACTCCACTTATGACAGTGGTAACTGCAATTATGGACTGAACCTCCCAACTTTAGCCACCATTGAGATA